GAGTGGGAAAGATGGGGTTTGTGGACTAGAGGTCGTTTTGGAATGTGTTTCGGAGCTTCGACAGGCTATGGGTTTTGTTGATTTTGTTTTTGCAGGAATGATAATTGTTGCTTGGGAGGAGACGTAGTCTAGATGGAAAGCACTAAAGAGAAGAGAGGTGCAGGTGAAACTGTTGACAGTTTTTATCACCGGAGAAAGGAAAGGATTGGGAAGAAGATGGGAGGAGACGAACCTAGGAACCCACGATGAACCCAGGCGCTTGGGTTCAGAACCCAGCTCCTGGGTTTGCCTAAAAGAAAAAATAAAAAGAAAAAAAAAATCGGAGAAAGGAAAGGATCGAGAAGAAGATAAGGGTATATAAGTAATTAAACGTAAAAAAAGTTAGGCCTGTCATCGACTTTTGTGAGGTGGATTTTCCATGTAATCTAAGTAAAAAATAAAATAAAATTTTTTGTTAATTAACTTGCCAACTCAGACAAAATTTAACGGAAGGACTAAAAAGGGGCCAGATTTTAAAATTTAAGGACCAAAAAGGGGATTTTTTCGGTCCAGGGACTAAAAAGGGGCTTTTTCCTATAGTAGAGGGACCAAAAAGGGTATTTAACCATTTACCTATGATGAATCATCCAAGGCCATATAAGCTGCAGTGGCTAAACGATTGTGGAGAAATCAAGGTAAATAAGCAAGTTCTGGTTTCATTCTCTATTGGACGATATAAGGATGAGGTACTTTGTGATGTGGATCCTATGCATGTTGGACATTTACTTTTGGGGAGACCATGGCAATATGATAGGAGAGTAACACATAATGGTTTCAAAATTTGCTATTCGTTCATCATGGAAGGGAAAACAATTACTCTTGCACCATTGAGTCCAAGGCAGGTTTATGAGGATCAACTGAGAGTAAAAAAAGAGAGTGAGCTGAGAAATGAGAGTGAGCTTGAGGGTATGAAAAACAAGAGAAAACAACAGAAAAAGAGTCCAAAAAAAGAGAAAAGATTGAGAGTGTTGAAAACAAAGAGAGAAAATCAGTAAGTGTTTATGCAAAAGAAAGTGATGTTAAGGCTGCGTTCTTTGCAAACCAACCTATGTTTGTGCTTCTGTATAAAATGCTCATTTCAACGCTAACGAACTTAATGATTCTTTGCCTAGTGTTGTTAAATCTCTATTGCAGGACTTCAAGGATGTGTTTCCAGATGATGTTCCTAATGGTTTACCACCAATAAGAGGAATCGAGCATCAAATTGACTTCATTCCTGGTGCAACAATTCCAAACCGAGCAGCATATCGAAGCAATCCCAATGAGACGAAAGAACTTCAAAGGCAGGTTGAAGACCTCATGAAAAAGGGACATGTGAGAGAAAGCATGAGTCCATGTGCAGTTCCAGTGCTACTTGTGCCTAAGAAGGATG